ACATCACCAACCTGCATGCTGGTAAACATATTTTTATGTTTAACAGACTCCAGCATCCAGTTCCCTCCTAATAATGAAAACATGAAGGAACATCCATCAAATTAATCTGCTTCATGATTTGTGAAATTAGAAGCCTATGATGAACTGGAAAACATCATTGAAGAAATCATGTTGTGGAGAATCTGTTGGACATGTGAAGCCAAGAAAAGGAGCACCTACAATGAGCACATCACACAAAGCTTTCATTTTATGCTTTTGAGCAGTGGTTTCTGACATTGATTCAGATAGAATGAAGATTTTAATGACCTGTTTGTTCTCAGAAGATTTGTTTTCTTTGAAAAGGAAAATATTCAGAATCCTTAAAAGTACAGTCCCTGAAATACAATTTACTGAGTACATTATATTTATATCTTCCCAGACAATTTGTGGAGAAAATTCTTGCATGATTTGGGGAAAATGTACCACCACTTGTGCACAAATCATGGTATTGTTTGATTCTACATTCATTTGTAATTTGGATGTATTCCTGATGCTCAGACTTCTTCTCTTCTTGACAAAAGCATTTTAACATTGCAGGGCTGGCACTACTGTGTAATGTATACTTAAATAGAATAAGTATCAACCCTAAAATACGACGACTTACATGTACTGGTGTCGTCTTCGTTGGTAAGGTTTAGGAAATTTCTACTACCACAACATCAAGACGTAACGTCGTAAAATACACTACGTCTTTTATTGTTGCAGAGAAAGTATCTTTTAGAAAAAAATAGAAGATCATCACCCCATGCAGGCAAGTATGCCAAAACACATATTATGGTGCTTATTTTCAGAGCTTGAATGTGTTTTAAACAAAAAAATGTTTGAACAGCATATAACATTATTTGAAATGACTGTGTTTATAGACAATTTTATGGTAGCAGTAAAATGAAATTGGATGGCTAGTTTATTGCTTCATTTTTACGCTTCTATATAGCTGGACCATTCCCCTCCACTGTTTTTGCAGAGGAACTGCAATTTTATTATGCTCTTTACATTTGCAAAGCCCCTTTTGCCCTGCATAACTTTAAAGGTACAAGCATTGCATAAAGCAGTTAGCTAGTACAGTTAGTACATGCAAGAGCTTTTTGTGCTGATGATTGTCGAATAGATGTTATCAGGGATATGTACATGATCCAATTCAGCAAAGAAAAGTCTTCTCCCCATGAAGAAAGAGGATATTTATCACGTTTTTGCTGCGTTGGCAAAAGAGACGGTAAATATCTTGACACTTCAAATAGTTTCGTCGAGACGACGCGACTCCTGACTTTTATTGAAATGAAGGTAAGGAAAATATAGAGTTCGAAAATTCGTCTTGTAAAAGTTATATTTATGAAATTGACATTTCTAGTATATTCTGTCTTGAATAAAAATGATATTACTGTATTTTGTAGGAACTCCGACAATTGAAAATAAATTCTAAATTCATCAAATTATGTTTTAATTTTGTTTAATTTCTTTCCAATTTCTAAGAAATTTTTCAAGGGCACTACTTAAAAATTAAAAGTGAAAACTTTTGGCTGGAGTTCCCCAATTATTTCAAAATAAGAGGAAACTTTGTCACGAGAGTTGATAGACTTGAAAAGTTTTTTTTGGGCAGAATACCATGCTTCCCATGTCTTGTGAATACTTTAAATTTTGGTATTATCAGTTTTCCTGTAATACAAAAGAAAAACTTTTTGCTGAGTGGCAATGGCAAGGTGTAGTTTACAATATTTTCCCAATTACAGTGGGCCCCCATCTATGTCTTGTGAATACTTTAAATTTTGGTATTATCAGTTTTCCTGTAATACAAAAGAAAAACTTTTTGCTGAGTGGCAATGACAAGGTGTAGTTTACAATATTTTCCCAATTACAGTGGGCCCCCATCTTACGTCATCAATCCGTTCCAGGATGGATGTCATAACATGGGGCTGTTGTAAGGTGAAACCCTATTTCCTTTAAAGTTACATTATAAAAAAAAGTAATTCATTCCAGCAAAAAAATATTAAACTAAAATTACCTTTATATTTCAACTTTTTGTCAGAAATTGCATTGAGAAGCTGTCTTTTCATGAAACCCCTGACTTTTGGTTTGTGCTTTTCCCTTCCATGCTGGATATTTAGGTTCACTATCTGGGATAATAACCCTTTGTTCTTATCTGGTTTTGGCTGTTCACTGGGGTGACCCTTCCTGTACACATACAACACTGGACATCATCCAATTGGAAATCATTTTTGTGGGGAAATTGTTTGCTGAGCCGCAGAATTTGTTCAATTTAGGGAACAATTTGCCCTGCATCCAGTAATACCAAGACAATTCCAAAAGTTCCTGTTATCTTTGTCCCAAAACTCTTGAGCAAACAAAACCTTTCTAGAATCAGCATAATTCACGTGGTTTCATGCATAATTCAATTCAAAATTACTGCACAATATTCTATGATCATCATTAGCGGTTCAAATTCAAAGGTTTTTCTACTGCACTCAACGTGAATTGCATTTTAACTGAGAACCCATTTGCAGTGAGCAATCAAGCAATCATCAGAAGCTGTTGTATCATGAAACCCTGACGTAAGTCGGGGGTTTTTTATTAATAAAAAAGCGTCGTAGGTTGAAACCGACGTAACATGGGCCCGTCGTAAATCAGGGGCCCACTGTATTCTCACCATCCCTTGCTAAGGAAAATTGTTGTGCAATGAAAGTAATTATTACTTATGGTTTGATTAAAATTTTGAGATTATCAATTTGGCTAAATTATGTTTATTTATTTCTTGTTCAATAACCTCAGATTTGGCTGAATCCACATATCTTCCTGTGGGCTATGTAGATTTCCTCCTAGTTGGTGGCAGACAGTTTCCCTCTGGATNTATCAATTTGGCTAAATTATGTTTATTTATTTCTTGTTCAATAACCTCAGATTTGGCTGAATCCACATATCTTCCTGTGGGCTATGTAGATTTCCTCCTAGTTGGTGGCAGACAGTTTCCCTCTGGAGTTCACACAATCTGCATCCAAGGGAAGGATTGAAACTTTTGAAAGACAAGGTTTTTATATAGATTAATGCAGAATGCCTTATTCATTATGCCAAAAAGGGTAAAATCAAACTGTAAGCCAATGGAAAAGCTACAGTGGTATATCTCACATAATGAACACTGTGCAGAATGAAAATAACTTCATAACAAATGAAGCTGCAAATGCCTGCATACCTCACAGAATGAACATTCCTCCACATGCTGTAACCAACCATCTGTTCCACAAAAACCTGAAACTTCCCAGCATTTTGCATAAAACCTTTCATAAATAATCCATTGATTGCTGACTGTATTTATTGAAAAAGGAACTCCTGTGCTGTACTTCAAATGCATAGAAATCATCCCTGCAGGGCAAGGGATTGTGAGAAAAATCACAAGCATTGATTAAACATTTTGTCATTGCCACCCCAAAGGTTTCGCATTTTTTTTCATGACAAGAAAACTGATCATTCAAAATTTCACCAAGTGAACATTTTACAGGCAGACTCTCCCTACAACGATTTTCTCCATTTAAAAATTTATTGTTCTGGCCCCATCTTGATAAAGAATTTTCTTTTGGTCCCTGGAATTTTTTGGAAGAGACAGTCCACATCATTCAACACACCAAAATTTCCTCATGAAAACTTTTCAATATACAGGTGGCAGATTGCAATTTGACCGTCCCACAATTCTATGGTCAAATTGGCATGGAGGTTTGACTTACAATTCAAACCTTGCCCCATAACGCAACCTGCTTGGGCCACTTTTTTTTACTAATATTTTTGAATTTCACGAAGTGTCTCACAATTTGATCATACTTTATTGGCAACGGATTAGGGTCAAATTTCAAGGTACCACCTGTACTGTAGTTTACTGTGAAAAATACATGGTAAACTCTGCTGGTCATAACAAGAAAGTTTTCACTCTTCATTGAGTCTTTCAAAAAGTCTTCTCAAAATAAAAATACAGATTCCTAAACTTTTTCCAAGGGAAATTACGATTTTCAATGTAACTAATTTAAAGGATGTGCGAACCTTGTACATACAGATGAGATACACCTGGTAAAAAAAATCAATCTTTCCCTTTTTACAAAAAGTTGTATTCGACGAGTTTCAGTATCGGGTTTCCATCATACGGATCACATCAATCAATAAGAGTAAGTGAAGCAGAAAACATCAAAACTTCATCATCAACATCATATCGCCAAAATCGAAACAATAACACTCTCATCATCATCGGAACACAAAAAAAGAAAAAAAAGGAAAGAAGCAAAACCCGCCGGACATTCAAATCCTCGACGCACTCCTAACATGTCTGGGCACAGACACAGACCTCGGCTTCCAACCCGTCACGAACTTGAGCTGGTCCTCTTCCACCGCATCCCGGATCTTGGCCTCCAGCAATCGTCTCTCCAATCGCAACTGATTCAACTTCTCCTCCAACGTCGAATAAGTGCCCAACTTATTCCCATTCGTCGTCGTCGTCATCATCATTGCGGTTCCAGCAGCAGCACTCAAACACCGCACACTACCGGAAACCGAACCCGAAACCCCTCCTTCTTCTTCTTCTTCGGCATCCAATAATAAGTCGACTCTGCATTTGACAAAGGGTTCCCGATCCTGAAGCCCAGGCTTTCTACTACCCTGCGGCAACCCGATGCAAGTGTCCAAACTCCTCGACAACAGCGGATTCATCAATTGCTGCGGAAACGGGAATTTGCTGGCTTTGATCCCTGCTGATGATGATGATGATGTGGTGACCTGCTGATGACAAACAGCTGCTGCTGTTGCTATTCTTGACGATGATGACGAGTCTGCTGATGAGGTCTGCTGTTGGTTGCCGAACAAGGTGACCCGGGTTGCCAGGGCATCGCAGGATAAACTAGTGGCATCCAGGGTCGTTCCCGAACCCGTTTTCCGCAGCTGGGTCCGAGTGTATTGATGACTCCGACGAGACGTGCAAGTCGACGTGCTGCTTTTGAGGAACACGGGTTTCCATTCCTCTGATTTGGCGGAAATCGATTTTGATGGCTGGAAATCATATGCAAGGAAAAATAAATAAATAAATTCATTTAAGGATGTTTAAAAAAATAAATAATTGAGTGAATCTCCCGACGACGACGAGATTTTTAATTTATTATGTCAAGGAAATTCAGCAGTGAGAGTTCCATTCAACCGACGTGACAAAAAGTCATTTTGGCTGAAAATATACACAAAAAATTGAATTGAATTAAAAATTAAAAAAAAACAAGCAAGAGAATCTGACGATAAGACGTACAGTATTGATGTCATAAAAATAAGCACCGGCAAGTTCCATTTAACTCGGAATATCAGACAACTGCGACGTGACAAGTCATTTTGGCTGAAAATATGAACAAAAAATTAAATTGGCTCTAAAATGTAAAAAAAAAACAAACAATTGAGTGAATCCGACGAATGTCCAGAAAATTTAGCATAGAGAGAGTTCCAATCTAATTTCTTTTCACATCTTGCGAAATTTCTACATTTTTTGAAAGATTATTTGTCTTGCAATAATTAAATAAAACGTTTCGGTGGTTGGAATAATAATGGCACGGTGTTGATTCAATTTTCTTTCAATCACTTAATTTTCGAGGCTGATTCGTCGAGTTTGAAAAAATGGATAAATCAAGAATTTTCCAATTATTTCTTTGACTGCTGAAATCTCGTCAGGAAAGTTTAAATATTGAAACTTTTTTATTACAGTATTTAGAATATAGTATTGTTTTCAAAACTCGCGAAATTTCCACATTTTATGAAAGATATTTTTTTCTCGTCGAGGTCTAAATAATAATTGAAAAATTCATCAAGATTTTCCCCCATCAGTGTTCTGAAAATTCGTCCGGAGGGTTTTCAATCATTGAAATTTTGTTTTTGTTTAGAATGATATCTTCCTCACACCTTCTGAAAATTTTCACAAATTAAAAAAAAAAACACTTTTATAGCAATAAATTAAATAAACACTCTAAAGGAGTCGCAAATGGACGGCGTTGGATTTTCATTTTCATTCAATCATTTGCCGATGAGGTCGATTCGCATGCAGAGGTTTAAAATGTAAAAAAAAAGCTCTAAGTTTATTTCGAACTATGTGCTATTTTTCATTGGGTCAATGATGCAAACTGACCTGAGATGCCATCGAAGAATTAACGGCATACTCGGGGGTCGTCGTGACCCTCGTGTCATCCTCGTCATCGACCTCGTTTATTATCACCCGTTCTCGAATCGGCGGACGAAGCTGATGACGATGCTGATTCTCGTCCGCCACATGCGAGAATAAGGTGTTATTGCTCGCAAAGGACGCCACGGATTCGTGCTGCTGGTGGTGGCGCCGGTAAAAACGGGGTCCGCCACGCGACGACGACGGCGGTGGCGGCGGCAACAAAAGCAGCGGTGGCGGCGGTGTCGCCTGTTGCCTCATGCTGCTTCTGCCTCGCACCTGATGATGATTGGGGTGTTGTTGATGACGTTGATGGTCATGCAAAGGCGGCTTTCCCAAATGATGATGATGAGGGTTTTGTTGGTAGAGGCGAGGTTCGACGACGGGTGGTTGTTTGACAATTTCTCGAAGCGGAGTCGACATCATCAATCTGCTGGATGACGAGTTGTTGTTGTTGTTGTTGTTGTTGCTGGTGTCGAAAATCACCGACAGTGACGACGAGGAAGTGTCGGCGTCGTTGTAGTCTGAGTCGCTGTTGACGTCAGGTGTCGAGTCTCCTTCAGCCAACAGCCAAGACCTGAATGACAGAGAGAGAAGGGAATCAAGCTCAGAGAAGACGGCAACACTGAATAGGGTCATTTCAAGTCAGCTGTAAAAAAAAAAGAAAAAAAAAGAGGCCCATGATGTTTAAAAATTCTGGGATTTTTTTCCTCATTTTCTTTAAAGAAAAAAGTTAAAATTTACTGCGTCACATGGTACAAAAATTGTTTTAATTATAATTCATCAACTAATTAGAATTAAGTAGAATTAAGTAAAAGTAATTGTAGGACAGCTTAAATGAAGATTTTTGTTGTTGCTTCAATCATAAAGTTTTATACATTTCAGAATAGTTTTAAAAATAATCAGTTTTTAGCTGGCCAGGAAACTTTTTAGCACTCTGTGAGACAGGTGGAAAACTCTGGCATAACTGGAAAATTTTTACTTATCATCAATCAGAAAACTAAATTTGAAAACAAATCCCAGAACCTTCCAACAGTATGGGCTGTATCCTGATTTTTTTTTACAGTGATCCCTATACTCTACTATTAACCGAGGTCGCGCCAAAGAAGGACAACGCCGCCATTTCTTCAGCAGGAAAAGTTTGTTACACTGCATAATATTTGTATGATGGGATTTTCAAAAGTAATGACAGGGACAATTTCCACATCAGACCTGGCTACAATTAATTAGATCTTGCAGTTCCTTGGTTAACAAGCTGCTCAGTTGGCAAATTTTAATGTTTCCAGGAGAAATTCCTCACAGAACAGAGCCAACATTTGGTTGATGAGCTTATTCTGGAGAAAAATCCAAAATGCGAATTCAAAATATGATTTTGAGGCTGTTATTTATGGTACAGTACAATAGAAGTGCAAATAATTCACCCATCATGCAATTATATATGAAAATGCCTCCCTCCTGGCAGTTGAATATGTGTAATATTTATAAAACAGTTTATTTCAGCTACATGATTCATATGCTTCTTCTGTGCTTGGGTGTCTATATAGTTCTTCAATTCTTTTACAGATCTATTTGATTTTTATTTCCAGGATGAAGAAAAGAAATTTAATTTTCACCAGACAGGGGGTATCCTTCACTGTGTGTTTCTCTGGATGTGAGGCTTTTGGAATCTATGTTTGCATTAGTGCCACTTGCAAAAGCATTTGTGGCAATGTTGAAGATGCAGAAACAATGTACAGTATTCTGATTATAGTTGATGGCAAAGCCTTCTTAAAATTAAATGTTCAATTGTCTTTTTGGGTCAATGGCATGGAAGAAGTTCTTGAAAATCAAATTTGGTTCACAAACAGTAGTTGCCTGATGGAAACAATTAAGTTGGTGAACCAAGGGTCCATACTGAACTAGAATTTTGAAGTTTGTTATACTGAAAAAATTGCTGCAACAAGATTTTACAGCTTTAACGGATCTAAGCAGCAGTGTCTTTTGCTACAGCAAAGAAAACAAACAAACAAAATGAAGAATGTGTCACCTGCAATAAGCGCAAAGTTGCGACTCCCAGGACTTGTCCCGGTAGCAGTCCAGACAAGACATGGGCACTTGTTTGGCCATCAGAAGACACCTTGGACAGTCCAAGGTCCTCTTGGCAACCCTCGTCCTGCCACTGGGGAAACCCTGCTGCTGCTGCAACTTGGTGAACCCAGCTGATCCGCTGAGCCCAGTTGAAGCAGGGATAGTCAACGACTTGGTGGCCACAGTGCCTCGCACAAAGTTTACACCAGATGTCGCTGCGGGTCCTGTCACGGCAGATTCCCCAGGTAAGCGGCTGTTTTTATTTGCTCCCTGCTGCTGCTGCAATCATTCACAGCAATAAACCACAAGGATTGAAAACATCAAAACATCAAATGGTCAAAGGTGTTTAAGTGGTGTAATTTTTGCAGTACAAATATATGAATGAATGAACAGAACGCTTTATTTTCTGCTTTTCATCGTTCACAAGGTTGAATCAAGATTTCCACATCCAAACCCCCTCCCCACCCTATTCAGTGTTGCCGTCTTCTCTGAGCTTGATTCCCTTCTCTCTCTGTCATTCAGGTCTTGGCTGTTGGCTGAAGGAGACTCGACACCTGACGTCAACAGCGACTCAGACTACAACGACGCCGACACTTCCTCGTCGTCACTGTCGGTGATTTTCGACACCAGCAACAACAACAACAACAACAACAACTCGTCATCCAGCAGATTGATGATGTCGACTCCGCTTCGAGAAATTGTCAAACAACCACCCGTCGTCGAACCTCGCCTCTACCAACAAAACCCTCATCATCATCATTTGGGAAAGCCGCCTTTGCATGACCATCAACGTCATCAACAACACCCCAATCATCATCAGGTGCGAGGCAGAAGCAGCATGAGGCAACAGGCGACACCGCCGCCACCGCTGCTTTTGTTGCCGCCGCCACCGCCGTCGTCGTCGCGTGGCGGACCCCGTTTTTACCGGCGCCACCACCAGCAGCACGAATCCGTGGCGTCCTTTGCGAGCAATAACACCTTATTCTCGCATGTGGCGGACGAGAATCAGCATCGTCATCAGCTTCGTCCGCCGATTCGAGAACGGGTGATAATAAACGAGGTCGATGACGAGGATGACACGAGGGTCACGACGACCCCCGAGTATGCCGTTAATTCTTCGATGGCATCTCAGGTCAGTTTGCATCATTGACCCAATGAAAAATAGCACATAGTTCGAAATAAACTGAGAGCTTTTTTTTTACATTTTAAACCTCTGCATGCGAATCGACCTCATCGGCAAATGATTGAATGAAAATGAAAATCCAACGCCGTCCATTTGCGACTCCTTTAGAGTGTTTATTTAATTTATTGCTATAAAAGTGTTTTTTTTTTTAATTTGTGAAAATTTTCAGAAGGTGTGAGGAAGATATCATTCTAAACAAAAACAAAATTTCAATGATTGAAAACCCTCCGGACGAATTTTCAGAACACTGATGGGGGAAAATCTTGATGAATTTTTCAATTATTATTTAGACCTCGACGAGAAAAAAATATCTTTTATAAAATGTGGAAATTTCGCGAGTTTTGAAAACAATACTATATTCTAAATACTGTAATAACAAAGTTTCAATATTTTACCTTTCCTGACGAGATTTCAGCAGTCAAAGAAATAATTGGAAAATTCTTGATTTATCCATTTTTTCAAACTCGACGAATCAGCCTCGNTAGATTAATTTTTTAATCTACTAAATTTTCACTTCATAATATGGACCCATCAAGTTAAAAATACTTTTGAAATGAATGTTGAAAATAAAGACTGACCTTATTGCTATTATTATGACTGGAATTGCTGCTGGTCATGACCAGGGAAGCTGAGCTGGAATAGCGAGCAGCTCGTCGCTGGAACTCAGCTGCACTCGACGCTGCGAGTGACTGAGTTTTCGACACTGCGAACCATTCCGTCAATTGCTGCTGGCTGCCACTGAAACTGACCCAAGGGTTCGTGCGAATCTTGGGTCTCTCTGCTGCCCCTGATGATGATGACGATGCTGCTCCTCCGGCTCTGGACTCTCTGCCACCACCATTCTTGCCATTTCCAGCAGAATCATCCAGAATAATGCCAGAGCTTGAAAAAACAAAAATACGAAAAAAAATTCATCAACGATTCAGAGAAAGGGTCTGTATCTCAAGACATACAATTTAGATTTTGAAATGTTTCCCCTATCAGTCAAATATGGCCTCCCTTTCTTTTTTTTTACAGTACTGTACAGTACTGTAATGTACAGTCAACCCCTGATATAGTGCCACTGTTTGTCACAGCACATTTTGTTGAATTAAGCAAGGGTGGCACTGAATCAAGGGTATCACATGATTTATATATATACAGTATATATATATATTATTTTAAAACATATGACATCTTGTAAAAGATCACAGCTGTTTCTCAAGATTTTCTGTGCATTTGAGTAATTTTCATTTAAAGTGCCAACATGAGGGAATCAGGGAAGCACCAATGTTTTCTCAATAGCTTTAAATTTTTTATATTTTTGATGGAGGAGGGCATCATGCAACAAAAATATTTTTCAGTAATTTAGATTTTAAAAAGAATAGATTATTCACAATTATCCTGAATTTTAAGTGAGCATGGGGATGCAAGGCACAGTTGATGAAAGTCATATAATCCAATGATATCCTTGTAAAAATGCCTTGATTACTCAAATCCTGTCCAACATGGCAAATATGTTTTCCTGCACTAAGTGAGTTGACACTAAATCAAGGGTTTCCCATTAAGTACATAACAGAGGGGGACATTTGTTCCAGGGGAATTTGGGACACTATGCAAGGTTGGTATACTAAATCAGGGGAAGGCACTAAATGTAGGGTTGACTGTACCAAAAAATAAAAATAAAAATAAGACACATACTCCTCTGGATTGTGCTGACTTAGTCGCGCACCCCCGGCACAAGAGTGCTTGTGTTGGCGGTGGAGAGCAGCGGGGGTCGACTTGTGGTGAAGATGACCCCGGAAACATCTGCAATCAGAAGTTCGGGACAAGGAACAGGAAAGATGCGAGACGCCGTCTTCAGAATTTCCGCTGCCGTAAGCACTTTCAGGCGAGCTGAGTGTGACAGACCTGTGTACAGTGATATAATGAGACAAGGTATGAGGTGATCCAAGGTCAAAAGGGAAAGTTGAAAAGAACCAATGTCCCAAAAAAATTTCAAGACATTTACTGTATACATGTGGACTCTGTAATAGGGAAATTCAAGGGACCATCAGAAACAAACCCCTTGCACAGAGGATTCAGTTGAAGATAACCCTGTTTGACCCACATAAATTTTTATACTGTACCATTTTCTGAAATCTTAAAGGATCAAGATAAACTGTTGGCCTTATATGAGTTCTCATCAAAGATTCTCTCTAAATTGTTCAATCAACTAAATCTCATACAGAAACAAGCTGAAGACCTTGTGCTTTATATAAACTTTTACTGCTAATTTCTTTTCAATGTCAGGAAATGGGTGGCTGTATGCAAACATGTCAGATGTCCAGCTTTATTTTGTGGAGTGTGTTCTTTTTTATTTTTGTCTTTTGGTACAGTCAACCCTACATTTAGTGCCTTCCCCTGATTTAGTATACCAACCTTGCATAGTGTCCCAAATTCCCCTGGAACAAATGTCCCCCTCTGTTATGTACTTAATGAGTGCCTTGTGAACGCTGAAAAGCGGCAAATAAAGTGTTCTGTTCATTCATTCATACTGTACCAAGAGCATCCTGGTATAGAGTCTTCTTGCATGGTGGACTCTCTCTACATCAATCTTGTCCAGAAGGATTTTATCAGTACAGGTGGTACCTCACAATTTAACCTCCTGCAATTCAATGGTCCAATTTGCTGGGAGATTGATTTGCAATTCAACCTATTTGACGCACACAGATGGGCAAAAACATCAAATACAATGTAGAAAACATTGCATTTGACATTGCTTTTCAATTCAAGCACTTTGCAATTTGACCCTGTAGTCCAGCAACAACAGATTAGGGTTGAATTGCAAGGCTTAACTGGTACAGTAAAATCTTGTTACAACAAATACCATTACAATATACATTTTTCCATATAACAAAGTTATTTCTATGTCCCAGCAGAAACCCTATAAGGTACATGTAATAAAAACCTTATTACAACAGACTTGCCAATTCCATAACAACAAACTTTTTTGAGGAGCATGTTCTGATTTCCTAATGAAAAATTCTGAATGATGGCAGGTACAGTCTCACATTTCCCATTCAAAATGTGACTGTGACTTGTTCTTGGGACATAAGGTCAAATCAAGGATAAAAAATCTTTGAAATTCACCTGAATATCCTCTCTTTCAAAAATTGTTCCTGAGTTGGAAAACAGAGCAGGGCGGGGTCAATGACAAAAATGAACCAAGCAGAACTCATGGTAAAAAGGGTTTTTATGCTTGAGAAACCCAACTGATGTGAAAATTGCAACCTTTTTAAAACATCCACCCTTACAAATTGGTGCAGGAATTGCGTAGAAGTCAACAGAAAGTACTAATGTTAACCTGTTATCCAGAGTAAATTTTTGTTAGTAATAAAGAAATTTATTTTTGAAGATCACGGGTTTTTAAACACTGAAAAACAGCTAATAAGCCAAAAATGAGATGTTGAATAAATGCACATCTAATTCAAAGAAAAGCTTTCTATCACTCAATACTTTTGAATATCTTGTAGGGTTTAAGAAATTTTTTCAAAAACATAACAAACATTTCACTGCTCTCACATGCAGAGTTCAGTTCAAGAGCCATTTCACAAATTATTTGTTTCAAAGCACTTTTTCTTAAGTCCCCAAAAGTTTGTTTTAACAAGATTTTACTGTATTAGAACTTGTTTTTGCTTGTGCTGCAAGACACTGTGTTGACTGATGAATTCACCACAGCCTTGACAGCATCAGAAAAAGCAAAATATTTCCTTCATAAAATTTGAAGAAAAAGGAAATAAATGTCAAAAAAATTATGTGGAAGGCTTTTTTGTTCCTTTTCCGTGCCACTAAATGTCTGCATGGAAAAAATTTGGAGGCTAGCCTAAATTCCGTGGGAAACTCCAGAGTCCCCAGGGTTCCAAATTACCCTCACGAATCATTCTCCAATTTAAAACTCCCCACTGATGCAAGGAAAGAAATAACTGCAATGACCAAAAAAATTGAAGAAAATTCAAGGACATCACAGACATTTCACTGCTCTCACTTGCAGAGTTCAGTTCACAAACAATTTCACACGCTTGAAAATAAATATTGCTCAAGGCCAAAGCATGATTTCTCAAGTTTTCTTTCCACACATGCTGTACATCCAGTGTCTCTACCCATAGCAAAACTAATGCATTCCAGTCAATGGGGAATTTTTGTAATGCAGCTTGAGTTTCCACTTATAAGAGTACATAAGAAATCATTGAATTTGTTCCAGCAGACACTTGCAAGTGAGCCAAAATTAACTTTGAACCTGGGTATGTTTCCTAGTTTTCTGCATGAAGTAGCATTAAATTTAAAAAATTCTAGAAAGTATTGTAAGTACACTCAACTTCCCAAATTTTACATATTGCCGAGTAAAAAGGACATTAAAATCATTTACAGGAATTTGTCTCATGAATCCACAGGAAAATCACAATTAACCTTAAAAAAAAAGAGTATTTTTCATAGTTTTCTGCATTATTTGTGGACTTGAAATCAATTAGCATTACAATAAAATTAAATATTCTTGACAGGTACTGTATGTGCATTCAATTACAGATGGAATCTTTGTACAGCAAGTTTTTCTGCATAACTCATTGACCTATTAAGTTTGTAAGCCAAGACCCCACTGTACTGTACAGTACTTAGTTTTTCTTGATTTCTTTTGCAGACAAAAGTTTGTTAACTGAGAAGTTTGTAAACCAAGGCTCATTTGTACAGTGAGACCCCCAGATGCAGACATAATCAGTGCATCAAGAGTGTCCCTAAGCTGAAATGTCTCTATGTTGGGTCTCATTTTCCCAAATAATGTATAGACTTACATTATAAACTTTCAATTGGTGTTTTATGAAAGAAATATTCTTTAGAAATCCATGAAAAAATTAATTTTCCCACTTGAATTTGATTCAGTCAATATCTTTTCAACTCAATAGGAATGTTTGGAGCATTGAAAAGTGTCTCTCTGTACAATACATATAAATGTTGGCATCTGTAAAAATAACATTCATTTCACAACCAGAGAAGGAACTGTTTCTATGCTATGGGTAATTTTTTTTTAATTAGCTGAATGGATTGGAAAATGATGGGAGAAATGCCAAATAATTTTTCTTGCACAGATCTTAGGGTTGGAAATACAGGTGAATAAGTTGAACCTCCCTAAGTAAAATGTTTCCCTCAAACCTCCATAAAGTTGCATTTTCTGTGGCCTGTTGGCTTTTATTTTCTTGACAAAATAAATAAAAGTAAGCAATAAAAACATATTTTGATTTGTTTTAAAAGGAGGTGAGTGTGTTAATTGGGCAAATGAACCATGCCTCAAAGTTCAGGATGCTTTCAACTCATTCAAGAAATAATTTCAGCCTCAGAATATTACAATTTACAATTTTTCTACATTTCCCAACACAAAAGGGCTTTGTATTGTAGCTCAATTCAAAACCTCTCTAAGTCAAATTTTCTGAGGTCCCTTGAAGTTTGACTTGGAGAAGTTCCACTGTATCTGTTTCTTGCATATAAGTCTAATAAAAGTAAATTTTCCTGATATTTATTGGCAATTTTATCATACAATGTCCTCATGTGAAGTCAGTGTCCATATGTTGGGCCCTTTCTATGCCTTTTTTTTATTGAAAAATCAATGTCCCCATGTAGAATTCTCCACATGTCCAGGTGTCCACATGTTGATGTCTCAATGCACAGTGAGACCCCCAGCTGTGGACATAATTGGTGCATCAAGAGTGTCCCTAAGTCAAGTCTTGCTTTCCCATAGACTTACATTATATAATTTTCAATTGGTGTTCTATGGAGGTAATATTCTTCAGAATTCCACAGAATTTTTGCCCCTAGATTTTGATTCAGTGAATATTTTTTCAGCCTAATAAGAACATTTGGAGTATTAAACAGTACACCACTGTACAGTTCATTGAATTGTTGGCATCTGTAAAAATAACATCCAAGTCACACAAAAAGAGAAGGATGTCCCTCTGTGCTACAGGTAATTTTTTTTCCAATTAGCTGAATTGATGGGAAAGTGATATAGGAAGAGTACCAAAGAATTTTTCTTGCATAGATCTTAGGGTTGGAAATATCTCTTGCAATTAAGCTTAATAAAAGTGAATTTTCCTAAAATTGTAATTGGTAATTTCATCATGCAATGTCCTCATGTCAAGTCAGTGTCCCTATGTCGGGCCATTTTAATGATTTTTTTAAACTGTAAAATAAATGTCCCTATGTCGAAGCGTCCCCATGTCGAGGTGTCCACATGTTGGGGTCTCACTGTACAATATTCCTCTTTAGCCACTCACCTCGGGGTACTCGTTTGATGAGGACTGCTGCCGTAAGCCTCAAAAGTGTTGGGTCTCGGATTGCTCGTCACCGCCGCCAAACAGGAAGAACACCGGCGCCCTCGACGCAAAACCGCCGGAAATTCGGCGTCCAACTCGCATCTCATCGGCGCCGCGGAATCGCAACAATAACATCTATTCGCAGACGTCTCGCCGGGTTTCCCGGAAGAAGAACCCGGGTCACTGGTGGCTGTGTTTCTCTTCTTGTTGTTGTTGTTCCGGATGTCCGTGTTAATGCCTGAACCCCGATTGTTCCGGCCCAGTGCCTTGGAGAACCACTTCTTCAACTTGGCTTGGAACGGAGTTGAAGCGGAGGAACTCATGCTGGTGTCTTTATTTTATTTTATTTTTCACCCGTTTATGTATTCGCTTCCGGGATGAACGATTCGCGGGGGGTATTTCTTATCGTCGTCGAAGTCGGAATCTGCAAAAATCCACGCCAAAAAAATGTTCATTTCATCTTGACATGAACTCATGCATAAACAGTTCATCGACTTTTGGCGGAAACACGGCGGTTCAAGTTACGGCAGAAATGAAAAAAAAAAACGGGATCGTCGAATCTTGCGTTTCTCGAAATGCGAAACATACGAGGTACTGTACGTTTCAAACTTGGAAAAAATGGCTCAAACCACAGGAGGAAATAAAATTTATAAAAATGAATGTGGTAAAAAAATCATCAAGCGCTTCTCAATGCTTCCATCCTTTTTCTCAAATTTCATGGTGGTTTGGAAAAAGGAAATTTCATCCCAACCATCTTGTTTCATGGCTCTCGAAAAATTCAACCTTCATAAATAACGGCATCTCACGGAATTTCTGAGAGAAAACTCAAAATATGGACTCTTACGGACAGTAAGATATTCGCAGTTTTTTTTATTTCAGAATTTTAACGACGGAAATCCACGAGATTCATGAGAGAAAGTATTATTTTTTGTCGAAAATTTAGCGTCGGAAATTCACGAAATTCTAAAGAGAAGACTCAAGATATGGACTCTTTTCCAAAATGAAGGGACTCATTTTATTTCTCAAAAACTTATCGTCAGTTTCACGAAATGTCGGGGGAAAAAGCACAAGATATAGACTCTTAAAAAAAAGTACAATAATTTATACTTCAGAATTTTAGTGTCGGAAATCCAAGAAATTTTAAAGAGAAAACTCAAAATATCATATCTTCGAAAATATATCATTTTTCAAAATTTCAAGAACATATATATAAAGTAAAAATACATCTGATCTTGAACCAATTTCAATTAATTTTCAGAAAAGGTTAATACAGTACAGGCAATAGTTTTTTTGTAGTTTCATCAGCTGTGCACAGTGTTGGGATATGTTTGCAAGGTTTTTTGCCCAATTGACTCCTTTTCATGCCAAAAGGGTAGATTCTGTGCAGTTTTATTTTGCACAGGTATTTTCTGGGTTTACAAGTTCAGAAACACATGTTGACTTCCTGCATTTTTGTTGGATTTTTTCATATTTTTTGGTGAGTCAAACATGAGCTGAATGATGTTTAAACAAATGGACACATTCTGAGAATTACTGAATGTCTTGGGGTTTCACTGTATCCATCCTGAACCCCCAAATAAGCATAGTATAACCATGTATGAAAAATAGGTAGATATTTGTCACAGCAATCTCATATTGTTGATAGAAAAATAAAACATTGAACCATTCCAGATCATATAAGCAAAAAAATAAAAATAATGGACTCAACTTGGGTAAGGTTCATCAGATGTTGTTCAGGAACAAACTATGTCCCTTGAATTTGTGGAAAAATAAATGGTTTTCATGGGCTTCCACCAATTTTTTTTTTAAGAAAAGTCATCAGACAAGAAGAATACATTTCAAAAAAGTTTCAACTTTACCTCATAAATGCAGCGTTCCATTAAAAAGTCTCAGTGCTGAACAGATTCCAACATATTGGCTACACTGAGAGCAAAATAATTTCATTCATACATAAACATGCATAATAATTCTTAGCAGTTTCTCAAGTCTGTCATCCTGAGAATTCATCAATATTTTTCAAAAGCAGATTCAAGAAGTGTTGCTTTTCAAAGAAACCTGCAGCAAAATATGCATGATAAATTAGTAAATTGACTAAACTTCCAGATTTGGCATCCCTTGAAACTGAAAAAGCCATACAAAGTGAGACCCCAATATGCAGACACCCCAACATACTGACAATTTGACTTAGGGACACTTGAAAAAAAACTGGCCTGATATCCACACATTGGCTTGAGTTAGTAACACTTTTCTGAAATTTTCCCAAAAAGTAAAGATATTTTTAATTTTGATCAAATCAAGCTATTTTTATGTGCAAAAATGGAAAAAAATATTTCATGATTAATTCACTTTAATTCATAATTAAAAGCAAGCTGATTTTGTGCTTCTTAATTCAGAGTTTTGTCTTATCATCTATGAATATTCTAGCAAGACTTATTCTTTTTCTTTGCTTTTTGATCTCCTTCTGATACCAATGAATGAATGAACAGAACACTTTATTTGCCGCTTTTCAGCGTTTACAAGGCACAACCAACCAAATACCAAAAGATCAGATTCTATACCTGGTTTTATTCTGCACAGTTGTTTTCCACAACTTAAAGATGAGGGAACAATTATCATTAATTTTTTTTACTTCTTTCCAATTTTTGACATAAAGGAGAAACATTCAACATTCGACATCAAGAGACTCTTGATGCACCAATCACATATGCAACTTGGGGTCTCACTGTACTTGAAAGGTTCTGAATTATATTCTGCAAGTGGATTTCCCAATGTCGAAGAGAAATCCATGCAGAATATTGATGAAAAGGTGTCTTTTTTTTTAAAGACATGCAGATTCTTAAAACAGATAAAAAAATGTACAAATGAATCCCATAAGAATCAAGAAAAAAAAACAAGTTTTATTTCAACTCTCAGAATCCATTTCTCAGGATTCCCACAATCTCTTGCAACCCTTCTTCACTCACAGACTTAACTTCAACAATTCTAGCTCCAGATTGTTGTAGCAAACGTAAAAACATTCTCAAACGACCCGTTTTTCTCATTTTATCATTATTTACAAAATACATGGGCGAGGCAGGTAAGATCACAACACTCTTCCTCCACAAATCCGCATATTCTTCCGATTTTGTCCACAGAGGAAGTTCTTCTTTTCGAGCAAGAGTCTTCTTGCTGACAAAATGCAGTGACCCATCAACATCAATCCTGCCCAATATGCCTAAATAAGGGACACAATTTATGAATCAATGCGGGCAAACTCAGAAAATCTGCCACTTTTTTTTCACTACTCACAGGGAATTCTTAGGAAATCAAATGGATAAAAAACCAGAGGATTTCGCTCCAAGACTTTGTGTGGAAACAAATCAGCCAAATGACTTGCTATTGTCATAAGAAACGTCTCTCCAGCCAACACTGGTTGATGTTCAGGACTATTCAAGAGCTGCTTTGGAGCATATCTCTGAAGAAACAATAACAGAATCCATGAACACAAAAATACAAACAAATGTGATAAAATTGCTGAGCTTGCACTGCCAACTAATTCATTAATGAAAAACAAAGAATCAAACAAAACATTTAGGTTGACATGAATAGATACTGTACTCAATCAAGCACCATGTGCACCTTTCTCTCAACAAAAAAGTTTGAAAACTCAGGGAAGCATTCTGAAGGTGTGTTAAAAAAATTGATGGAATTTTTTGAATCCAATAAGCATGATACTCAAATCAAACAAAAACTACCAATAAAATTAGTACATAAAATTTTTAAAAGCAAAATAATGGGTAAACAAATGCAATAACACCTTGTTACAATAAAGCCACTCCATGGGACTGGTAAAATAGCTTCATTATACTGACAGATTTGTTATAAGAAACCCCAAATAACATTGTGGCTATTGAGGATGGACTTGATAAAAAAACAGCAGTAAACAATCATTTTACAGTAACAAGATTGGTTGAAATGAGATTCTACTGCTACTGCAGACTCATAAAAAACTAAATTTAATTCAAATTTCAATATCATACACTTAAATCAAGATCAGTTCCATGAGGCTTCCTATGAAGATCGAATCCAAAATTTTACATGATGAAGTTTTTGAAACACTGTGGATCACTTTTTCTTCAGAGAACTGAGGTGCATGTTTAATCCAGGGAGAATGCTTATGTCACTCAAGGACACATGGTACTTGAGTAATTACATTAGCATCCATTTTAAAATAAAATTCAATCTTGATACAACAAAGTCACTTGGACCTAGAAAAATGCCTGCTACAACCAGACTTTGAAGAGCATTGTAGTTGTTCAATAGGCAAAAATTTCTAAAATTAATTCATCAAGAATGAGAATTTGTTATAACCAGGTTTGATTCAACACAACACAAAAAGGACAATTTTAAATTTCTTTAGAAAATTCACATGCAAATATCCAATTTAATTTGGAATTTAAGCTTAATCCACTTCCACAGACAAAAGTAAAAACGAGTCAGCCTCAAGCAAGCTCACACAATTCTTTTGAACAAATATTTGAAAGTATTCCCTCTTCAAGTGATGAAAAGGGAAACACTTTTAGCTCACCATAACAGCTAAATCTCTCAAACCATCAGACAGATGTGGACCTTTGTAATGTGGCTGCTCAGCAAGAACCAAAGAATCCAACTCATGAAACTCCCTCAAGGAATGAGGAAAATTTTGAGAATCTGACATTTTTGAAAAGAAAAAACCCCAGCTTGAAAATCATCCCAGGATATGAAAACCTCAACAAGCTCACCAATCAGAGAGTCAACAAAGGCTTCACTGAGACACACATTCAACAATACTGGAGAGTAGAATCCATGGCATGCCAGAACCCTAACAGATGCCAGGAGAGAATGTTTATGCCTTTCTTCCTCTTGAAAGCATTCCAGGTGTTTCAAAATGGCTGACCCTTCCTCTGGGGTCAATGGCTTCCCTACCTGATCCCTTGCAATCAGAAAGCGCTCCAAGTCTTTCAACCTACTCCCATCCATCATGATGACATCCCTTTGCACATGATCAAAGATGGCATCCACTACAACTCTGTGCTGGGCCCCAGTCTCCAACAAGTGCACCCTGGCCAGCAGTGACAACTCATCCAACCTGGGCACAGCAGCTTCCAGCAGACCCACCACCTTTTCAAAATCAGGCTGCCACAAACACCTCTTCATGTACCCAACAAACTTGGCCACTGAACACAGGGAAATACTGTCACATGGTGCAGAGGACCTGAGTGCCACCACTGCACCATCAATGACACCATTGAACATTGCACTACCTTTGCACTGTGTCTGTGTTTTAAAGTATGCTGCACAAGTCAGACCAAGCAGACCCCAACTACCAGGACTCTGTCTCATGCTCTGCACCAGTATCTTCTCTAGACCATCTTGGTTCAGGCCACTGGGCCACCTGCGGGCCACCAAGAGGCCAAAGAGAAGCAACCTGAGTCCATTTGCATCCCATGCACCTGGTTTCAAGGCCAGGGAGTCTACAATCAAGTGCAGGGACTTGGCTATCCTCCCAAGTCCGAGTCTGTGCCACATCAAAACAGCTTCTTCGAGATCCCCTTCAGGGGATCCAGCTGAAACCACCAACTTGGCCAGGGCTGCATCAACAGCATTCCAGAGCCTGCTAAAGTTCTTGGCTCTTGAAGACGCTGCTGGACTCCAACAATTCAAGGCATCCAGGACCAAAAGCAGTTCTTGAAAGGTCAGTCTTCTGCATTCTGCAGCCAGGGACTTGAAAATGTCATCATACCGGGTGTCTTCCATTTTGTCAAACTTGGAAATGGCACGATGAGAGAGTCGATGGAATTTGGCCACTATGTGGGTTTTGGGCTCACCCAGTGGCCTGGGAAAGCGTTGTAGAGTGTCCGCATAATGTTCGTCTTCCACGTTGCGAAAACGTTTTGCTGCTGATGTGGGGCTCGTTGCCAAAAGGCAACACGGTACTGGGCAAGGGTTCCCAGCCCACATTTTGAGGCCCAACCACAAACCACGGTACATTATGGTACTTCTCAGGCAAAAGAAAGCGAAATACACGATAAAAATCAACAGGAACAAAAAGCATCAAAATAAAAAAAAAAACTCGCCCAATTTTACGAGGCGTGTCTGATTTCCGCTCGCAGTCGAATTCTATTTTTGAAAAATTTCCTGAAAAAAAATGCGAAGATTCAGCACTCAGCTTTTTAATCATTTCTCTCTCTACAACTTTCTAGAATAAGAAATAAGTGCTCTTGTGCCATTTTTATCGAGTCTGAAAATAAATTTAAACATTTCGTCACGCAATTTTTCCACGAAACATTCCGCGTATACCGAGAGTTGTCCCAGTTGAACGCGGCCTTCTATTTTAAAAATAGGTGTGATCGTTAAAAAATATATTTCAAGACATAACCCGCGATATTCCGAAGTATCGCGATTTTTGGCAGATTTTGAGAATTTTTTTTTTCAAATTTACTGCATGATGATGATGACTGAAAATTCTCCAATTTCAGCCAGAGTTCTTCACTCATGTCACAAGGTGATAAAAATTTGTCAGACCAGCCGAAAATTGAGTTTTTATTTTTGTTTTACACATTATCTTTCCTAAATTTTAAATAACGTTCAAATGAACAAAGAATTAAAATTTTTTAGGTATCTGACAAATTTTTATCCTGGGACACGCGAGAATAACTCTGGTTGCAAGTGAAAAGTTTTCACTCATCATCACGTGGTAAATTGAAAAAGGTTTTTTAAATTCAGAAAAATAAATCGGTATACTCTCAGAATATCACGGGCTTTGTCATAAAAATTGTATTTATTTTCATTTGCACAATCACACCTACTCTAAAAATATCTGAGGCCGCGTCTAATCGGGACAAACCTCGTAAATAGTCTCACGTGGAAACGCCCTGGATTAAATGATCAGATCATTTCAAGCGAGAGTCTCGTGAAGTTTTAAATAATTTTCCATTTATTTAAAACCACCAGATTTTGTAACCGTGAATGACGAAATGATGAAAAATCGGCCAACAATGTTTCACTCATCATACTCCTTTCCACCCACGGGTCATTTCAAAGTTGACCTTTCATGACTTCTCGCAAAGGGCCGAAAAAATATATTTAACCTAAAAATTATCCGATCATGCCATTGAAAAATAATTACTGTTCAATTGATTGAAGGTTCGGATACTGTATCAGAAAAGGAAATTTATAGCTCTAAAAAAAAGTCCGAATACTCGCATGCGTCAATTTGTAGAGAAATTTTATCCACGCGACAAAAATTGGCGAAAAGTACGTGGAAAAATTGCGATAAAAAGCAATGACGATACTGTAATAATTGGCACAGCGTAATTTTCACAATTTTTTCCATTTTCTTCGAAGTACGAGAGGAAATCAAACATCCTTTTTCTGCCCAGCGAAGTTTGAAATTCAGCTGACAAACGCGCTCAAACATTGTATTCTCCTTCTCACGACACACGAAAAAAAATCCTATTTGATAAAAATCCTTCAAAAATTATTCTCATGCATTCGAAAGCAGAACTTTTCGAATTTCAAAGAATGTCCGTAACAGCTTCAACATCAAATGACATACCAACAACTTTTTCTCTGACAAAGACAAGGTCAGAGTCCTTTTATCAATTTTCAAGCTGGATCTTGAAAATATTTTTTTCTTCAACGACATTTTCGAGGTCGTTTACGAATCTGAAAAATTGCGAGACAAAAATCAACGTGGAACATACGCAAATTCAGAAACAAATGAAACGCTTTCAAAAATTTGAAAGATGCAAACGATTCCAACAAGTTTAGCCATGAAATCAAACGCAGCCCAGCTTTGTTCTCAAAATGAAAAAATGACAATATTTTCCCATTTCACGATATAAATATGTATATACAGTACATATTTTTCCAAATTACAATTTTTTTTTTCACTTCCAAGTAAGATTTTTATTTGTGGAAAATGAAGAACTACAACACTTGAGTCAAGGAAGATTAGAAAAAGTAAATGGCAAACTTAACATGAAACAAGGATGTGAGATTGAAATTCAAATCATGACATTTTTTTGTCCAATTATCCAAATAAAGTATAACTCTGAACTGAACAAATTTGTAGCTAATATATGTATCCAAAATTTAAATATATATGAAGATAATATATTTCAAAATATAAATGAATTTCAGTTGCACATGTGGGGTACGTATCTCTATTAACAATAATTTAATTTAATTTCAATTCGAAACCTGGTCATCCCAAGTTTCCAAGGAGTAAAAATTCAAGAACTGCATTTATCAGAGAAAAACCAGATAACCACAAATAAAACATTGTCCCTACTTTGTCTACTGAAATTGTGAAGATTTTTTGCTCTGAGCCAATTTTTGTGTCTTGTTTTCAACACGTTTATTGGCAATTCCCAAAGTTTGGGATTATATTTCTGAAAGGGGTGCCGATGTAGATTGGCACGCTGATGATAAATGGCACAAACATCAGGCAGCAGTTAAGCTGTCAAAAGGACAGTTCCCCAGAAATCTGAGAAAGTTCCCCAAAAGTGCTGAAATTTGTTTGAGCAAAACATGCTTGTGCTTATTTTTGGCAGGTTTTGCACACCTGCTAATTGCTGTTGTTTTTATATTTATTTCCATCTCACTGACCCTTGAAAATCATATCCACTTTTGTAAAGTGAGACACTCTGCAGAAAGACCTTTTGAGTACGTACTTTTCCCTTTGGGGATAACATTTATATCTAAAAATGGCTAATGTTTCCTTGAAAAAAAGAGCCATAAATTATGCAGTTTGGCATCGGCAGTAAAAAGAAAACGCATTCCACTTTCATAAACAAATTTCCCAAGATTGATAAATCACAGGAGTCCTGTGTTAAATTACATATTTCCTGAAAATATTTTCTGGTCCTTTGTCCATTAAAAAGACGAATTGTGCAGAAATGTCATTGCAATACATCTTGCATATGGAGTTAATGCATTCAAATTTCCGGAGTGAGCCCTCCATCTGCTTCCAAGTTTGCCCTTGCAAGTGAAATACCACAAATTTCAAGTTGAAATGTCTTCCAGTGCTTGACAGCTGTTGGGGACACCTGGCAGGAATTGAATAAAATACAACTATCCTCCCACATCCCAAAAAATGGTCCTTCCCTGAGAGTCCCAGAGAGGAAAAAAAAAACATTCCTCAAGGACTGGTATGAGGATGCATAGCATCCTCTTCCATCCCAAGGTAATCAACTTTGTCTGTCCTCTCTCTTCTCCAACTCAGCAAAATCTAATCACTCCACTGCCAACTCTCAAGCTGATTAGACCTGAAGACTATGTATTGAATACTATCAAAAATCTAGTATGAATTTATATAGTAAAATCTCATTACAACAAGCTCCCAAGGACATGAGAAAAAATTTGTTATATTGAGATTAATGATTTTTATTTTATTTTGGACTGGAATTGTATTGGAAATGGGAAAGACATACTTTAAAATGCTTCTAAAACAAATAATACAAGACTTAGCATAATGAATGAGTACTTCAGATGAAATGAAGAGAAATCCTTTGCTGTGAATAGAAATCTCCTCTAAATTAACTAAAATTTGTACATAAGTATTGTCTTGAAAAATAAAATGAAACAAAATTACAAATAGTAAAATTATAGCAGATTAAAAAATTAATCTAAAAACCACATTTTTCAAGTAAGACTAAAAAGCACAAAAANTGCTTTTTAGTCTTACTTGAAAAACGTGGTTTTTAGATTAATTTTCTAATCTACTATAATTATTTTATTCTTTTTAAAAAATATTCTTATAAATTTTCTTTTCACAAAAGATTGCATTGTCATAAGTTTCTAAGCTATCCTGAAAGTTTCAGCTTGCTAGCTAGTTGGGAAGTGAGCAAAATTTGAGTTGCAAAATTTGATCCAGACAAACAAACGGACAAGAAAGCGAGTTAATAAAAACGTGTTAAAATACTGCACTTCCTTCTTGATCAACTTATTCATTCATAGCTCTTCCAAACATAGAAGAACATTCTTCTAACATACTGTTGATTTCAAAAAGGCATACATTCTAAAATGGATGAGCTAAAGAATTACCAAAAGTATGATCTTGTTGTGCATTTGTAGGACACCAAATTTTCCATGCATAACGTTTTTTTTTGTGAATTTTTAATGCTACATCTAATTTCTTCTACATTTTCTGCCATTTATTGATAAATCCCTATATGGGCTATGCACAGAATCATGCCCAAAAGTTTTTTATGATGAGATTACAACCTAAAATTACTTTGCTATAACAAGATTTTTAGAACATTACGCCAATTGAAAACTGCCACAGGACCACAAAAAATTTGTTATAACAACATTTGTTGTAACAGAATTCCACTGTATTTGTATTGCGTGAAATCATTTGTGTGTGAGTTGCAAAGTTCTCTGAGATGAATAATGTTGTATTGGGACATTAATAAGTCTCAATTTCTTGGAGCCCCTACAAAGAGTCTCCCAGTCAGTCCCAAGCCTGATTGTTGTGTTCTACCTTAAATTCTAATCACTTCTCTTTGTTAGGAACATTTAATCCCAATAACAACAGCCATCAACACCCAGCATAGCAGAGGGCCTGAGAACTTCAACTTGTGCGGGTGCCGTTTTTCACAGCCATTATTCCCAACCACCAAAGCCCAAAAAAAAATTCATACATGGGGTGGCGGGCAACCCACCATGATAATAATACGGTAAGAAATAAATAAATTTCCAAGTCATGGTGATCAAAGGGAAGAAGAAAAAAAAAACGTGAAAGCATAAAATGAAATAGAAAAGTTGTGGAGAGACCAAGACGTCTATAATTATTCCCTGGGAAACGCAAATAACAACTGCGACTGCTGCTCCATTTCGCATACATCGTCGACCAGCAAGCTTATCTCTCCTTCTTTCTGCCCCACGCCGATAAGCCAGCGAAAGTCCAGTGAAATCCCCATGTGGAATAACCCAAAAAAATGAGAAATAAATAAAAAAAAGAAAAGCTGGTCCCAACCCCTCACATCATCT